AGTACTCATCAGTATTTGACATATATTTGTTTATTGCCTATCTTTCTTATACAAACTCTATGAAGACAGGAACTTTGTTTTGTTCACAGTTGTATCCTCAAGGCATAGCACAAGGTCTGGAAAATAGGAGATGCTCATATTTGTTGAAAATATGCAAAGAAAAAAGGGACAAAACTGTCTATTAAGAATCCTCCAAACAAATATAACATTTCTTAGCACAACCAGCTGAATAACAAGGAATAAGGGAAACCAATTTTAAGGCTCACAAATAATTCCCTGAAAAACAGCTAACTACCAGAAATCTTGACATGTGTCACATAACAATGTTTGGTCAACAACAGACTACATACATGATGGTGGCCCAATAAGATTATAATTGGGCTAAAAAATTCATATCACCTAATGACTTCATAGCCATCATAATATCCATAGTCCTTACTCATGGTGGCCCAATAAGATTATAATTGGGCTAAAAAATTCATATCACCTAATGACTTCATAGCCATCATAATATCCATAGTCCTTACTCATGCGTTTGTGGTGATGTTGATGTAAACAAACCTGTGTTGCCAGTCGTATCCAGGTATAGCACACACAATTATGTGGAGTACACAATGCAGGTTTAGTATCCCTTATCTGAAATGCTTGGGAGAAGGAGTGTTTTGGATTTCAGATTTTTGCAGATTTTGGAATATTTGTACTATATATGCTTATAAGTTCAGTATCCCAAATCCAAAAATCCTGAAACCCAAAATGCTCCAACGAGCATTTCCTTGGAGCATCATATTAGTGCTCAAAAAGGTTTAGATTTTCAAATTTTAGACTTTTCAGACCTCGGATACTCAACCCATATTTGATAATGATAATAAACAACTATGTTACTGGTTTACATATTTACTATACTATACTTTTTAATTGTTATTTTATTATTATTATTATTATTTTATTATTATTTTTTTTAAAGACGTAGTCTCACTCTGTAGCCCAGGCTGGAGTGCAGCGGCATGATCTTGGCTCACTGAAACCTCCGCCTCCTGGGTTCAAGCGATTCTCCTGCCTTAGCCTCCTGAGTAGCTAGGATTATAGGCACGTGCCACCATGCCTGGCTAATTTTTGCACTTTTAGTAGAGACAGGGTTTCGCCATGTTGGCCAGGCTGGTCTCAAACTCCTGATCTCAGGTGATCCACCCACCCCGGCCTCCCAAAGTGCTGGGATAACAGGCATAAGCCACCACGCCCAGCCTATTTTGTTTTTTTTTGAAATGGACTCTCACTCCGTTGCCCAGGCTGGAGTGCAGTGGTGTGATCTTGTCTCACTGCAACCTCCGCCTCCCAGATTCAAGGGATTCTTGTGCCTCAGCCTCCCGAGTAGCTGGCATTACAGGTGTGTGCCAACACACCCAGCTAATTTTTTTTTTTGTATTTTTTAGTAGAGATGGAGTTTCACCATGTTGGCCGGGCTGGTCTCGAACTCCTGACCTCAGGTGATCCATCCACCATGGCCTCTCAAAGTGCTGGGATTACAGGTGTAAGCCACTATGCCCGGCCAATCATTATTTTAAGAGTGTATGTCTTCTACTTATACAAAAAGTAAGTTAACTGTAAAACAGCCTCAGGCAGGTCCTTCAGGAGATGTACCAGAAGAAGGCATTGTTATCATAAGAGATGACAGCTTCATGTGTTTGATTGCCCTCAAAGACTTTCCAGTGGGACAAGATGTGGAGGTGGAAGACAGTGATATTGATGGTCCTGACCCCGTGTAGGCCCAGGCTCATGTGTGTTTGTGTCTTAATTTTTTTTTTCCTTCTTTTTTTCTCTTTTGCATCTTACTTTTAAGAAAAAGTTTAAAAGTTAAAAAAAAAAAAAAAAGAAAAAAAAATTTAAAAGTAGGCAAAGTTTAGATATAGAGGAAGAAAATATTTTTGTACAACTGTATAGTGTTTTAAGCTAAGGGTTTCTTACAGGAGTCAAAAAGTTCAAAAAATTTTTGAAGTTTTACAAAGTAAAAAAGTTACAGTAAGATAAGGTTAATTTATTATCGAAGAAAAATATTTTCATAAATTTAGCGTAGTGTAAGTGTACAGTGTTAATAAGGTTTACAACAGTGTACACTGATGTCTTAGGCCTTCACATTCACTGATTACTCGACTGACTCACCCAGAGCAACTTCCAGCCCTGCAAGCTCCGTTCATTGTTAAGTGCCCTATACAGGTGTACCATTTCTATTTTCTATACGGAATTTTTACTCTATGTTTTCTATGTTTAGATACATAAATACGTACCATTGTGTTACAACTGCCTACAGTATTCAGTATAGTATTCAAAGCTGTATAAGTTTGTAGCCTAGGAGCAATAGGCTATATGACAAATAGCCTAGGTATGCAGTAAGCTACACCATCTAGGTTTATGTCAGTATACGTTCTGATGTTCCCCTAACAACACATTTTCCCATCATTAAGCAATGCATGAGTATACATAAATTCATACCTGCCCATGCACACACATTTTTTTCATCAAAAAATTAAGTAGTCTTCACAGGAGTTGCTGCTATTGCTGGAGTTTGTGGGTTGCAGGGAGCTAGGCCTAGTGGGCAGCGTGTGTCAAGATGTCAGAGCTGGCAGTGCAGAAGGCAGTGGTCCACCTTCCGGTGCTGCTCAGTGTGGTGGATCGTTTCAACTGAATCAGCAAGGTTGGAAACCAGAAGTGCACTGTTGGTGTGCTTTTGGGGTCATGGCAGACAAAAGTACTTGATGTATCCAACAGTTCTGGAATCCCTTTTGATGAAGATGACAAAGATAATTCTGTCTGGTTTTTAGACCATGATTATTTGGAAAACGTATGGAATGTTTGAGAAAATTAATGCCAAAGAATAGTTCGGTGGTACCACACAGGCCCTAAACTACACAAGAATGACATTGCCATCAATGAACTCATGAAAAGACACTACCCTAACTCAGTATTGGTATTACTGACTGAAACTAAAGGATCTGGGGCTGCCCACAGAAGCATATATTTCAGTGAGAGAAGTCCATGATGATGGCACTCCAACCTCAAAAACATTTGAGTATGCGACTAGCGAAACTGGAGCAGAGGAAGCTGAAGCAGCTGGAGCTGAACACTTGTTACAAGACATCAAAGAGGCTACAGTAGACAGTCTTTCCCAGCTGATCACAAAGAAGTCCATGGTTTGAGGAGACTGAACTCCAAGCTTTTGGGTATTAGGAGCTACCTGGAAAAAACAGCCACAGGCAAGCTGCCAATCAACCACCAGATCATTAGCTGCAGGAAGTCTTCAATCTGCTGCCAGACATCAGCCTGCAGCAGTCTGTCAAGGCCTTTTATCTGAAGACCAACGACCAAATGATGGTGGGGTACTTTGCCTCCCTGACACATTCCGTAGTTGCCCTGCACCACTTTATCAACAACAAGATTGCCAATCAGGATGTAGAGAAGAAAGAAGGGCAGGAAACAGAAGGAAGCAAAAAGGACAGAAAAGATGACAAAGAGTAAGATATAGATAAGGAAAAGAGTGATGTGAAGAAAGAAAAGAAAAAGGAGAAAAAGTTAAAGATGTAGCTTTTTAAATTTGTAAATTAAAATCTTATAAACTAAATCAGTATGTCACTAGAAGGTTCTTGTTAAAAAGCTGTCCTGATTAGAGCTCTACGCCTCGGGTCACTCTTGAATGGATAGAGGGACTGATCTCAAACCTAAACTGCAGCATCAGCTGCTATGAGTTTAGGATAAGATAGCTCAGGCTTCAGATTGTATGAGAAAAATGAAGAGATTTCAATGTAACATTTTTGGCACTCCTCATTCTTTTATCTATAAAACCAGGAGTTGAATGTTCCCCATCTTCAAAGACTCGTGGGGTCTGTTTCTGGTCTCATGGGGGCTGCTAAATGGAATGCACGAATTTCATATGTTCTCTGCCTCATACCACCTTGAGTTTTGACCCTTCTGAACTCTGCTGAGAATAGCGCACCATGTTTTAGACCTGTACTTCTGGCATTCTCAGGATTTGGGATCCAGCTCCATATATTATTTACCTTCAAAGACACAATTAAATGGCTTGAGGTCAGGAGTTTGAGACCAGCCTGGCCAACATGGTGAAACCCTGTCTCTACTAAAAATACAAAAATTAGCTGGGCGTGGTGGTACATACCTGTAATCTCAGCTACTTGGGAAGCTGAGGCAGGAGAATCACCTGAACCCAGGAGATGGAGGTCGCAGTGAGCTGAGATTACACCACTGCACTCCAGTATGGGTGACAGAATGAGACTCTATCTCAAAATAAAAATAATAAATAAATGTATCTCTTCCAATTAAAACAGAATAAAACTAAAAATTAATAGCAGAAGCAAAACTAGATGACCTACAAATAGGTGGAAATTAAATATCACATTCAACCAACTGGTCAAAGAAAAATCACAAGGAAAATTAGAAAATATCTTGAAACAAATGAAAATGAAAACACAGCATTACCAAAACTAATGGGATGTAGCAGCAAAAGCTGTGCTGAGATAAACTTCTAACTATAAATACTTAAAAAAAGAAGAGTTCAAATCAACAACCTAACTTTACACTGTAAAGATCTAAAAAAAGAAAAGCAAGCTAAACTCAAAGCAGAAAGAAATGAACAATAAAAATTGGAGCAGAGACAACACAGACGAGAAAAATAGAGAAAATCAACAGAACCACGTTTGTTCTTTGAAAAGATCAACAAAATTGACATTCCTATAGCTAGATGGACTAAGAAAACAAGACTCAATAACTAAAATCAGAAATGAAAGAGGGGACATTACCAATAATTTCACAGAAATAAAAAGGATTGTTAAGACAGTGCTATGAACAATTATACATCAACAAACTGAATAGTATAAATGAGAACAAATTCCGAGAAGCACAACTTATGGAGAACGAGTCACAAAAACACAGAAAATCTGAATTGACTCATAACTAATAAAGAGATCAAATCTGTAATCAAAAACCTTCCAACAGTGCTCACTTCAGCAGCACATATACTAACACTGGAAGGATACAGAGAGGTTTAGCATGGCCCCTGTCCTAGGATAACATGCAAATTTGTGTGGCATTCCATATTTTTAATTTTTTTTGAGACGGAGTCTTGCTTTGTTGCCCAGGCTGGAGTGCAGTGGTGTAATCTCGGCTTACTGAAATCCCCACACCCTGGGTTCAAGCGATTCTCCTACCTCAGTCTCCTGAGTAGCTGGGATGACAGGCGCCCACCACCACACCCGGCACATTTTTGTATTTTTAGTAGAGATGGGGTTTCACCATGTTGGCCAGGCTGGCCTCGAACTCTTGACCTCAAGTGATCCACCTGCCTCGGTCTCCCAAAGTGCTGGGATTACAGACGTGAGCCACCGTGCCTGGCCACCATTATTTTTAAAATTAACAAAACAAAACACCTCCCAACAAAGAAAAGTCCACGATAACATGACTTCACGGGTGAATTCTACCAGACATTTAAAGTATAATCAAAACCAATCTCCCTCAAACTCTTCCAAAAAATTGAAGAGGAAGGAACAATTCCATACTCATTCTGTGAAGCCAGTATTACTCTGATATCAAAGCCAGATGAAGACATACAAATGAGAAAAGAAAACCACAGATCAATATCCTTTATGAAGATTGATGTAAAAATCCTCAACAGAATTCAACAGCACATTAAAAGGATTATACACCATGTTCAAGTGGGATTTATTCCTGGAATATAAGAATGGTTCAACATACAAAAATCATTCAATGTAATACACATTAACAGAATGAGGGGAAAAACACAACACCAATCATTTCAATGGATGCAACAAAAGTATTTGACAGAATTCAAAACCCTTTCATGATAAAAACACTCAAAAAGCTAAGAATAGAAGGAAACTACCTCAACTTAATAAAGGCCATATATGAAAAGCCAACAGCAAATATCACACTCAATCTTGAGAGGCTGAAACCATTTCTCTACAATAAGGAACAAGACAAGGATGCCTGCTTTTACCATTTCTACCACTTCTATTCAGTAGAGCAGCAGTTCCCAACCTTTTTGGCACCAGGGACCGGTTTTGTGGAAGACAATTTTTTCATGGACTTGTGGGTGGGATGAGGGGAATGATTTCGGGATGAAACTGTTCCACTTCAGATCATCAGGTATTAGATTCTCATAAGGAGTACACAACCTAGATCCCTCACATGTGTAGTTCACAATAAGGGTCAAGCTCCTATGAGAATCTAATGCTGCTGCTGATCTGACAGGAGGCGGAGCTCAGGCATTAGGTACTGCTCACTCGCCCATCACTCACCTCCTGCTGTGCGACCTGGTTCCTAACTGGCCACAGACTAGTACTGGTCTGTGGCCCAGGGTTTGGGGACCCCTGCAATATAGTAGTGGAAGTCCTAGCCAAAGCATTTAGGCAAGAAAAAGAAACAAAAGGCATCCAGATTCAAAATAAAGAAATAAAATCTGTTTGCAAATGACATGATCTTATATGTAGAAAACCCTAAAGATTCCACCAAAAAACCATTAGAACTAATAGTTGAATTTGGTACAGTAGCAAGATACAAAAATCAACATATAAAAATCAGTCATATTTCTATATACTAACAATGAACAATCTGGAAAGGAAATAAAGAAAACAATTCCATTTACAACAGCAACAAAAATAATGAAATACTTAGGAATTAACCAAGGAGAACTCGTATACTGACAACTACAACACATTCTGAAAGAAATTAAAGACACAAACAAATGGAAAGATATCCCATGTTCACAGATTAGAAGACTTAATATTGTTAAGATAGTAATATTACCCAAAGTGATCTACAGATTCAATGCAATCCCTATCAAAAATCCCAATTACTTTTTTTTTTTGGCAGAAATAGAAAAATTCATCCTAAAATTCATATGGAATCTCAAGGAACCCGAATAGCCAAAGCAGTCCTTTTCTTTTCTTTCTTTTTTTTTTTTTTTTTTTTTGAGATAGGGTCTGGCTCAGTCACCCAGGCTAGAGCACAGTGGCATGATCTTGGCTCACTGCAACCTCTGCCTCTTGGCTCAAGTGATCCTTCCACCTCAGCTTCCCAAGTAGCTGGGAGTACAGGTGCATCCCACTATGACTAGCTGATTTTTGCATTTTTTGTAGAAACGGAGTCTCACTATGTTGCGCAGGCTAGTCTTTAACTCCTGAACTCAGACATTGGCCAGGCTGGTCTTGAACTCCTGAGCTCAGGTGATCCACCCACCTTGACCTCCCAAAGTACTGGGAATTACATGCATGAGCCACTGTGCCTGGCCCAAAGCAGTCTTAAAAAGGAACAACGAAGTTGGTAGTCAAACTTTCTGATTTCAAATTTTATTTCAAAGCTACAGTAATTAAAACAGTGAGGAACTGCATAAATACAGACCATATAGATCAATGGAACAGAATCCAGAATCCAGAAACAAACCCTCACATATATGGTCAAATGATTTTCAACAAATGTGCCAAGAACAAACAATGGAAAAAGGACGGTCTTTACAAGAAAAGGTGATGGGAAAACTGAATATCCATATGCAAATTAATGAAGTTGGACTCTTACCTCATACCATATACAAAAATTAACTCAAAATGGATTAAATACCTAAATTTAAGAGCTAAAACTATAAAACTTATAGGGGAAATGCTTCCTGACACTGGATTTAGCAATGCTTTCTTGGTTATAACACTAAAAGCAAAGGCAACAACAACACAATAGATAAAAAGAGCTACATCAAAATTAAAAACATTTGTTCACCAGTGGACAGTATTAACAGAATGAAAAGGTAACCCATGGGATGGGAGAAAATATTTGCAAATCATTTATCTGATAAGGGGTTAATACCTAGGATATATAAAAAAATCAACAAAAAACAACCTGATTTAGAAATGGGCAGAGGACTTGAATAGATATTTCTCCACAGAAGATATACAAATAGCCAATAAGCATATTAAAAAATGCACAACATACTAATCATTAGGGAAATACAAATCAAAGCAATAAATACCACTTCACACCCATTAGGATGCCTATTATAATAAAACAGAAAATAGTAAGGGTTGGCAAAGATGTGGAGACACTGGAACCACTGTGAACTGTTGGTTGGAGTATAAAATAGTATGGCTGTTGTGGAGAATAGTACGATCGTTTCTCAAAAAACTAAAAACAGCATTACCCTGTGATCCAGCAATTCTACTTTTAGAATTATACCCAAAAGAATTGAAAGCAGGGACTCAAACAGATATCTGTACCCACACATTCACAGCAACATTATGCACATAGACAAAATGTGGGCAACTAAGTGTCCATTAATGAATGAACAAATAAACAAAATGCAGTATATACATACAATAGACTATTATTAAGCCTAAAAAAGGTAAAAAATTCAGATACATTCTACTATGTGGATGAACCTTGAGAATATTAGGGTAAATGAAATAAGTCAATCATCAAAAGACAAATACTTTATGATTCCACTTATATAAGTATACAGAGTAGTAATGATGGTTGTTAGGGTTTGGTGAGAGGGAGAATAGGGAATTATCTAATGGATAGAGAATTTCAGTTCTGGAATATGAAAAAAGTTTTTGAGATGGATGGTGGTGATGATTGCACAACAATGTGAATGTACTTAATGCCCTTGAACTGTACATTTAAAAAAGGTTAAAATGCCAAAGTTTATGTTACGTATATTTTACCACAATTTAAAAAAACTACTTATCATAACAAAATAAGTAATATCTACCCACTGGACTCCCATTACATGTTCTCTGAGAAGAGCAGCTGGCTCATTTGTTCATTCAATAATATACGCCCAGGCACATTTTCAGGTTCTTGGGTTATATCAGTGAAAACAAGGATCTCAATTCCTTCTGGAGCCTAATTTCTAATAGGATGAAAAGGAAACAGATAAGAGAAAAATGAAGTAATTTATATAATAATAAGATGGAAAGTAGTAAGTTATAATGAAAGAAGAAAAGTAGAGAATAGTAATGTGGGAGCACTGAGCTGGGTAGTGGTACTTGTAAACGTTAGATAGAGTGGCCAGAATAAGCTTCACTGAGAAGGTGACATCTGAATTAAGATTTGTCAGAGGTAACAGAGATTATCATATGAACATATGGAGAAGGATCATACCAGGAAGAGGGAACAGCTAGTGCAAAGGGCCAAAGAACATGGCTCTGTTGTTTGTGCAGCAGCAAGAAGACCAGTGTGGCTGGAGCAGAGTGAGTAATGGGAATAATGATGAGATATTGTTAGAAAAGTGCAGGCCACTGTAAGGCTTTTACTGGATATAATTTGAAGGTAGAGTCAATAAGATTTCTTGACAGATTAGAGATAGAGGAAGAGCAAAAGAAGAACGAAGGATGATTCTAAGATTTTAGAATCATCTTAGACTACATTAAAGATGAACCATGAACTAAGATGTGGAAGGTGCCAAGAAAAGCAGGTCTAGGAAGGAAAAATAGCTGCTTTGTGTTAGATTTATGCATTAGATGTATCTATCAGACATTCACATGGAGATTCCAAATAAATTAGCTGGAAAAATGAGCCTGGAGTTCAGGAAAGAGATGTGACTAGAGATACAGATCAGTGTATCAATAGTATTTGAAGCCACAGATGATTTCCCCCAAGGGAATACAGATAAAAAAGAAAAGAGGTCCAAGGACTAAGACTTGGGACAACACAATATTAAGAGGTTGAGAAAAAGAGGAAATATCAACAAAGGAGATTAAGAAAGAATGACCAAAGAGGCAGGTGGAAAACCAGAGACCTCATTTGAATTGGGTACATCTAATACTACAACTTTAACCTTCTGAAAACTGTTTCGTCTCTCCACGCCTGGATTTTCCTTGTCTGTACAATAAACATAATACAAATTATCTAACGTAGCTGTTGTGAGAATTAAATGGGACCAAGTAGAGAAAAATGATTAGCATGTTGGCTGTTGGAACTCTGCAAGTGTTCAATGAATAGTAGCCATTATTACTATAATTAATGATAAATCTTAGCCTCCTCCTAGACTATTATCGTCATTTATTCTACCACTTTACAGGAAATGAATTAGGAACT